GTTATCACATAACCTCCATACAACGCCTCAATGGTCCTAATAATTGTCCTCACCTTCATGTTGGGTTTTCCCTGCAAAATTCCCATCAACCACTTGGCAATGAGGGTAGATGTCAACTGTCGATGCCTCAGTGTCAGCTCATGGTCAGCACAATTGTGTGGTCCGATAACTTTTGTGATCTTCCATTTTCTGGTTAACTGTTGCTTCCTTACACAAACCCTCCATGGGAAGCGTTCCTTGTCACACACAACTGTGTAACGGTGCTCCGCATATGAATGCAATACCTTGTAAGGTCTCTTTCGTATCACTACAAAAGCCTGCAACCACCTCTTCAAAGCAGGGAGGTAATTGAACACCCTCCCATTCTCAATTACCATGTTAGGACCGGCCTCAGGAGCTTCTAGGAGCTCATCATCACGTCCTTCTGCAAACGCCTGATCGAAATGAGCAAGATCGCTGAACTTGTGAACTCTAGGATCACGGCAGCCGGGAAAGATACGCCTCATCATCTCAACATCACTCTCCGTTAGCTCTCCAATAGGGCAATCATCATCAGAATCAAGAGCCCTAGCCATCTCATATGGCTCCGAATCATGCATAATTTCAACACTATTGGAGCCACAGAATCCATCTCCAAAGTGCACTTGCGCAGCAACAGGGGGCACATCCACATTCTCATGAATGTCTCCTACAACATAAGTAGAGAAATGAAGAAAGAATGAAAGAAATAGATGTAAGCAATGGGGTAAGCTCCCAAAAACCATGCGGTTAAGACACTTACTCGGATGATTCTGTGTCAAAGGGATCTCATAAGGAGGATCTGCCATGGAAACATGAGTCTGACAACCATCTCCAACTACCGCATTCGGGGCAGATTGAGCATCGGGAACCGTAGGTGCAATCTCCACATACAGATAAGGTTCCGGAATGGGAGGGTCGATGTGTGCCTGCTGATCCATTGCTGGGGTAAACCCATGAGGGATGGGATCAACTAACACCTAACGCACAACCACGTCCAAACATTGCAGTTGGCTCTTCATAACCGGTCTCACATAGTTCTCTCACTGATCCGCACAACCAATTGAGATCATTCGCCTGACGATGTTGGGAGGAGAACCTAGGTGCAGTATACCATCAACTGCAATGCTATCATCTCCAAGGCAATGCAGCTCCTCCCGAGCTCTTGCAACCATCTCACTAAATAAAGGCCTATCATTGAATAGCACAGGCACACTTTGTATGTCAACAAACTCAACATATCCATAGCGATCGCTTTCAACGGTTCCTCCATGATATATGGTCACTAGGTTGTCCATCTAGTTTAAACACGTAACGAAACACATGTCCTTTAGTCCAAATTAGACGATAGATAGTACCTAACAAGTACTTTCTAACTACAAACTAAGTAAATAAGATAATAACTACGTGTATATATATAGTGTACTCACTAAATAGCTAGATCATATTTAGTTAACTAAATATGTAACTACATATCTAAGTAACTATCTAACTATATCTATGTACCTATGTATCTATGTTTCTATCTATCTACATATATATCTCACTAGATCACTAACTAAATCAACTACCTGAGTCATCACATTAACTAGTAAATAACAAATGCCAACTAAGTAGGTACATTGCATATTCATAATTTTTACCTTTCCAACGACTGATCCGCGGACGTCGACGGAGTCGCAGCAGACGATAGGTGTGGGTCAAGCCGACAATCCGGGCCGGTGGTGGCACGGCCGGCCACTGCAGGTGGCGGGGTCGGCGGTGGCGCGGTCGACGACAGCGGTGGCGCGCGGCGGGCGCGGGATGCTTGGGGCTCCGCGTGGCGAGTCCGTCTCGACGGGCGTGGGAGGCACGGCGGCCGCAGGCGAGGCCAGTGGTGGAGGGCGGCAAGGCGGGGTGAGGCCAAGGCGAGGAGAGGGTGTGGCGCGGGAGTAGGAACCGGCGAGGGGACCGGGGCGCTGGCGGAGGGGCGCTGGCCGAGGCACGGCGGCCGTGGGGGGCGGCGCGGCCGCGGGGCGCGGGCCGTCCGCGGTGGCGCAGCGCAGGGCGGCCACGGTGGTTCTCGACGGGCTCGGCGCGGCGGCGAACGCGGGCCTTGGCGGTGTCGCGTGTTGTGCGCCGGCGGCGGCGGTGGCGGCGTGGCGCGGCGCGCGGGCGCGGCGCGGCTTCGGCTTCGCTAAGGGCGAGAGAGGGAGAGGAAGAGAGGAAGAGAGGCGCGGGGCCCATAGGTAATAAAGGCTCGGCGCCAGTCACTCTGGCGCCGAGCTCGGCGCCAAGATCTACGGTGCCAGAGTGACTGGCGCCGAGCTCCCTGCCATGTCATCTACCGAGCCCAGGAGCTCGGCGTCAGGGACGCTAGCGCCGAGCTAAGGGTCCATTTTCTGAACTCTTTCTATCAGGGGTCTATTTGTGAGAAACTTTCAAAAAAAAGGCTAAAATGTAAAAATTTCAGCCGACACGAGGGGTGGCGGTGGGAGTGGTACTAGGCTGTGCAAGCACGGGAGTCGTTTTATTTTCCAGGTCTAAGGGGTGTGTTTTATTTTACACCGATTTTGGTCCTATCAAAATGTAAAATTAGTACGCATACTAGCCATTCAAACAATCAATTCTGGCTTGAGCGTAACCTCAAAGATGGTTTTCCATGCACGTAAAGTTGTCCTGACCAAAACGTTAAAATACAAACCTGAAGCAAGGAAGACAAACACATGACATGAGGTGGTACAAAGTATGCTCAACTAACTGACCTAGTGCTCGTTGTATCCATCCTTTTGGTTTTGTGTGGCTTTGTAATTGGGATCGTCATGTGTATATATTTTTTTTATATCAAGATGGATATGTCATCAGAACAAGTGAGAAGTGACACGGCATTGAGAAGAAAACATTTGAAGTTGAGAACAAAATTTAGCCTTAGAAGCACTTTCAACCCCACACTAACCTGCTCTGCAATTAACAAACTCTGCGCGATCACGTTAGTTAGAACCACTTATACCTGTTCGAATGCTCTTGGTTGGATGCACACAAACATAAGAATATAACAGACAAGCTTTTCATTCCAACTCCTGACCTAGTGAGATTAGTGTGGCTTGGCTTAACTAGGGTGATGTAAATTCGGTACCCTAAACCTGCAAATGATGTTATTTTATTTGGTGTGATTGCTTGAGTGGCACTCACTCTGTTTTCACCCTATTTGTTAGTGTCCTTGTAAGCAATAAGCATCGTCTCATTAGGTTTTATCGGAAACAAAAAGTAACTATCTTCCTTAAATAATCTAGCCACATCTTTCAAAAAAGAAATTTGGCCACGGCTCTATCTCCAAAGATTTCGGGCATGGGTTTTAATTATTTTAACTATATAAGAAAAATGTTATTATTTTGTTCTCTCTAGATAGAACAAACGCAAATCTTGGAAATCTTGAGGTGCATAAGCTACGTCAACAAAAGAACAGCTAATTAGGAAACACCAGATTAATTTGGGATGTATGTTTGATTTGCCGGCCAGATAGCTTTCTCTCGTAGGCAACGTTTCTAGGTCACCAATTTTGGCCGCCAGACAGCTAGGAGCCAGTTTAGTTCCCTAAAATTTTGCCAAATTTTTCAAGATTCTCCGTCACATTGAATCTTTGGACGCATGCATGAAGCATTAAATATAATTAAAAAATAAAACTAATTACACAGTTTAGACGAAATCCACGAGACGAATCTTTTAAGCCTAATTAGACTATGATTGGACACTAATTGTCAAATAACAACGAAAACCGCTACAGTGTATTTTGCCAAATTTTTTTGCATCTAAACAAGGCCTAAGATCCTTGCCTGCTAGGCAAATTGCCTTTCAGGCCATGAACCAAACAGGTCCTTTTAGAGAAGGGATCGTAGAGCTAGAGATTTGCGAGCCAAACTAAGGAGGAAGAAGGGTAGCATCTCATGACAATACCCAGAAAGCTAAAAGCAAAGATGTTTTGCTCTAACTGGCAGGGATGTAAGGGGACTTGTTGGCAAACCCACAAATAAGCTTAGATATTTCTGGTTTCACCGGAACCAGCAAAGATTGAGTCTATTTGGGTTTCGCCGCTTGGATCCCCGCCAGCCGATGACAACAGTGAGGGGGTATTTTGGTTACTTTTAACTTTTCTCCCATCCACTTATAGAAAATATTATTTTAATAGTTATAGCGTGTAGGAGCAAATTATCAGAATTCAGGAGTGTCTCGGTTACATTGTTTCCAAAACTATCATATCATGTGAAATGAAATTAACTTGGATGAAACACACATTCTCAATAGAGAGTTTCATTCCATGGTTTCATAGGCATTTAATTTCAAAACTCATGAGAGTTGATAATCATGTTAAGAGAGTTTCATCTAGATAAAACCTATTTTTTCTCTCTCTTCTTAAATACACTGTCATGTCATCCAAAATGTCTATGTGGCAATCTATTTAATGCAAATGAAACTCACGTGAAACTTCCACTGGCCTTATAGCAAAGATAACACTGAGTAGTTTTTATCAGCAGATACTAGTATTGAAGAGACTCCTAAAATTTACCTAAAAATTTAAACATGATTCCTTTTAGGGGAAGAGCAGTTTGACCGTTAGGAATCACGTTGCCGCAATCAAACCATGCTAAACACAAACTGCATTGTAGCAAAAAACGAAAAAGAAAAAGAAATATGTGTCACAGAGAATCGGTGTCTTCCTAACAAATAACAAGTGATAAAAGAAACAGTGAAATGCTACAACACTGAACAAAATAAAAACAACAGGGCGATGCTTCAACCATGTGAGCTGCTCAACATAGTTGTGACACATTCCACTGACAGTCCATTCCTTCACGGTGTACGCATTGCAGGTTTGACCTACAGCCAAAGACACGTACCATCGCTCGTGCTGTCGTGCAGCCTTAACTTGCGTACGTGCTACTTAATCCCATACCTGCTCCCGGAGCGCGCGCGCACAGTGTGCTCCACGACCCTCTAGCCACGCCATGCACGAGCACGACGCCGTGGTGGCCGCCGTCCACCACAGCGTCGTGGCCGGCGCCGCAGCCGCGCTCGTCGCCCTGGCCGTCGCGCTCTTCCTGCTCTGGCGCAAGAGGCGTATGGCAGCCGCGAGAAGCCCCGCCGACGGTGGTGCCGCATCAGCCTCAGGCTCTTCGGCCTCGACCGCGCCTCTGCTGGTGATCCCGCTCGCCGACGTTGAGCGCGCCACGGACGGGTTCCACCCGAGCCGGGTCATCGGGCAGGGGAGGCACTTCGCCGTGTACGCTGCGGCACCCGGGATCGCCGCCAAGCGCATGCACCCGCACCTGGTCCTCGGCGACCCCGGCGGGAGACGGTTCCCCGCCGCGGTCCGCTCGCTGGCCGTGCCGCCCCACCCCAACGTCGCCGCCGTGACCGGCCTCTCCGAGGGCCCAGGAGAGCGCGTCATCCTCGTCGAGCGCGCCCCCGCCGGCGCCGTCAGCCTCGACAGGGTCCTCGGCTGGGACGACGCCGCCCACGCCCACCACGTACCCGCGTTGTCGTGGCGCCAGCGCGCCGCGGTCGCCGCCGGTGCCGCGCGCGGGCTGGCGCACCTGCACGCGCACGGCGTGGCCCACGGCCGCGTGCGGCCGTGCAACGTCCTTGTGCACGCCTCCTCCGGCGGCGGCGCGCGCTGGAGGCACGCCAACGCCACCACCAGGCTCACCGACTACGGGCTGGCCGGCTTCCTCGACCGCCGGGACGACGACGCGCGCGCGGAGGACGACATGTACATGTTCGGCGCGGTGCTGCTGGAGCTGCTCACCGGGCGGCGCTGGGACGGCGGCCGGCTCGCGGACTGGGCCCTGCCACATATACGCTGCGGCGCCACCTTGGAGGTGCTCGACGTCGTGCGGGCCGGCGCGCCGGCCGACAAGGCGGAGGCGCGGCTGCTGGCGCGGGCGGCCAGGGTGGCGCTGGCGTGCGTGGGGAACGACGGGCGCAGCCGTCCGGGGATGGCGGAGGTGTCGGCCATCCTCAGCGACGTGGAGGCCGCGTACAGGCGCCGTGACGGCGCACTTGTGGCCAAGGAGGAGGAGCGCGACGACGATGGCGATGAGAGCCGTCTCAGTGGATGCCTTCTTGGCCCAAGCAGGAGCATCCACAAGGCGGACATGCTGCTCCGGGCGCCCCCTGTGATGTGAAGAAACCAATCAAAGCTTAAATTCTTTGGGAAAGCGATCAACTGATTACTAGTACTACTTGTAGTTGGGTAGGAAATGTGCGTGCTTGTATTTCAGAAGCTATTTCTTACTTTCTTTTTTTTCTAAAAAGAATGTACAGTTACGGCAGAGATCTTGAGTAGAATGTACATAATATTTGAGCATCCGGATGTTTCAAAGTGATTCAACGATTTTCGAACACGGAATTTCTTCAAAAAGATCATGAACATTTCCACCTGTTCCAAAGAGTATTGTTAAATTCTGGATCATCACAGGACAACATCTAGAAACATCTGCTCGCATAATTGCCTTGCTTGTTAGTAATTTGGAAGGAACACTATACCATTGATCAAGAGAGCTTTCATGCATGTCTTGCAGGTCGTTGACTCACTGTTCAAGATCACTGGTGTCCGTTGACCGTCAACTGAATAGTTTCAGAGTTGTGCTGTGGGCTGGCGTTTGTGTGGAAGCCATGCGTTTTCTGTGTCAGATTTGGCAGAGAGGATACCTGCCGTATACTCAATCCCGGACAGAATAAATGCAACTAAATTCGCGAGCGCCGTGCGCAGAACTTTTTTCATTAAACACATCTCACTTGCATGAAACAAAGCGATAACAATAGAAATAAATATTCAGTGTATTAATATGACATAAGGATATTATTATATTGGAATATCATTGTACAATAAGCTCGATCCAAGACACAGGTTACCATCAAGTAGGATAACCACAAACGAATTGAATGTAGCTCAGTTAGTGGAGTTCCTTGCTTGTGGTAGAATTTGTTCATCTGGATTTAAATCATTGACTTGACATGTATGCCCGTATGTACTGAATTTATCTTAGGATTTAACAGTGTTGTTATTTGAGTGGTAAGCGACGTGTTCATCGACAACGTGACACATGTGGTAACTTCGTGAATCTCAAGATCTCCGGCTTATTTTTTTCATAAGGTGCCTCATAGAGGTAGGGTGTATCCATAGTACATATGCGTGCATGTATAAGCGTCAGCATCTGCCGGTCAGAGCGACTATTGCTCATGGATCCTAGGCTCGGATTCTGATACGAGTACAAGTGTCCCAATCTTTCTTTGGAGAAGAATATCTTGGTTGGTGGATGGAGATGACATTCATGGCCCAACTATAACCATTCATGAACGTTGTGCCTTAGCGACCAATGTACCAACTTCAATGGTTGCTCGGCTTACGATCTTGTGGAACGCAATCATCCAGCCACGAGACACTCATCCTGCAAACAATCGAAGAATCAATAAGAACAAATAGAGCAGTAATTGAATTGTTATGTTAATACGAGGGCTTCAATATGAAAACACAAGATGGAGTTCTGAAGACAAATAAACAAGCGGTCCAGCGAAGTAGCAATGGCTAAATCAAAATGAACAAAGCCCAATTTATTTGTGATGCCTCTAGAGATCTATACATAGATAGTATAGGATGACCACAAGGGTTCCTGGGTCATGCACCCTATGACACGTACCTAGTGCATCCAACTTGATACACGGGACATCAGGCCAAAATAGGACAGTGCAACACTGTGGGTAGAAAAAGGTCCCGACATGAAAATGATGATTGCACTTGACTCAGACATGATATGGGCATGAGGGTGGATGTGTTGAAAATTATACTTGATAAGCTTTTCATGAAGTACTAAACTTTCTAATCGAAGTCCATATGAAGCTGTAGTGACCTTCGCAACTTTGCGATGTTTTGCATTCTGAATCCAACTTCCAAAAGTACCTGCACAACAACAACCAATGTCCTCCGCCAAGCCATGAAGTCACTTGTGACCGCAACCATATTCATTTTAAAAAGTGTAACAAAGAAAATACTTTCATGGTTAATGATGAGGCTTGTTGTGGCAAGGGTGTAGGAAATCCAACATGAATCAGACGGTACCCAAGCATTGTTGCAGGGCAATTGGCACTGAGAATATATCTTTCCTTGCTTATATGTACCACATCAGTTGATATATTGCTACATGAAAGAATATGGTGAACATTATAACCTGCAAAAATATATTTCAAGATACAGAAAAAAAAAGTTTGGGACTTCAATATATTCTAACAGAATCAAATTTCAAAGAATGCACGAAGTCAAAGTCATTAAGTGTTGGGTCCTCAACACTTTCAAATGAAAAATCAAGCAATCTTGCGTTCCTTTTATGATAAGTATTTTAAAATTTCACTTCCACACAAGGGTTAGGACCAATCATACATTGACCAATAAACTCTTACAGCTCCTGCTCCACGTACCACTCCTTCTCTAATTTTTTATATGCAATAATTTTTCATGCAAGAATAAGGAGAATAGGCTGAAATGCAATCTAGATTCAAGCAAGTAACAACCTGATAGAATACATGATGGAAAAGAACCCAACTGTGATTAGTGCAGGATGAAAGCACATGAGTCACCCGAAGAAAAATAAATAAATAGAGGAGAAAACAAAATGCAAATGCAAGAGCAGTTTTTAGTCTATGGTTTGGCTATCCAGTTTTTACATGAGGGAATTCAAACAACATGCATGTCCATCTAGAATCAAACTCTCTTGATCATTAGATTCCAATAATGATTTTTTAGATTTTTCTAATGTGTATTTCATCATATTCTACTCTGTTTAATACATACCCAAAAAAGGTAGTATGCTGCTTTGGTATCTGAACAAATAATGTAGGGAGGAATTTTGCTACTGTACTTTGCAAAAGCTTATATGTCCTATATTCATGTTGCATCAATCTAAGAGAAGTTGACTCTAAAGTTTCACACCATGAATAGGCCAGGCCTATTTAATGCACTTTATGCAAGATACCTATATTCCATGAATATGTCATTCACAAAAAATATTCCATGAATATGTCCTATTAAATTCTTTTATCAATTGATCAATACCATTGACATTGTTGTTGAACCACTTTATGTAAGAGAACATTATAGTTCTTATGTCACAGAAAATCATTGGTATAAGCATCAAAAGCGTTACACGGTGAACAATTGAGCATTTTGCAACCCAAGGACAACTAAAAGTAGGGTCTGTATGGTTCGGCTATGAGTTGTGCAAAAGCTGTTGTGAGTTTTGAGCTATGAAAAAGCCACTGTGAGCTATGAGCTATAAAAAAGTTGTAAGCTGTTTACAATTATTAAACCTACCTCATCTACCTATCTCCCTTGAAACAACAATGAAATGTCTCTCTGTTTTCGCCAATTTGAAAAAGCTAAAAGCTAAAAGTAAAAAAAAAAAGTAGGGTCCAAGGTGCTACAAAATTGTACTATGCAAAAGCAAATGTTTCTGGAAAAAAACAACAACTCTAGTTTCTACCTATTTTGGTTGGCTTTTTTTTTGGTAGTAGAGGCACTTTTCAGAAGTTGAATCAAATTGTCCAAACATAGTCTTAGAATTGTCTCACAAGCATCCATGCACACAAATCCTGAACATCCTTAAGAATAGGGGCAATGGTGCTAATCTTTTGTATGCTGAAGCGGCACCTCCATGATGGATCCATCAATATTTGCTCAATTTGAAAAGAATGGAGGCGACACACACACACACACACACACAGACAGAGAGAGAGAGAGAGAGAGAGAGAGAGAACAAATCTAGGAAAGATAGGGAGAGATGATACGGAACATACCAGTGAAGTCTGAACCACAGAGGATGAATTCTTCATTCCATTACGGATTGGTATTCTTCTTTATCAGTTTATCACCTATGTCTTCAACTTTCGTAAAATGATGAAAAATAATTGTAATTAGCAGGACTAAATAGTGGAAATGTAGACAGGAAGAACTAAATTCAAATATTCCGATGGAGTCAATGGAATGATGTACGAAAGTAGGTTCGAGCCTCTTGAGTGCAAGCAAACGCAAGGTGGTACACACAGGGGCGACGTAACGGGTTGGTGGCCTCCTGAGGAACCACTAGGAAACAACGGCCCTGTTCATTTGAACTTATCAGCCGTACCGTTTCAGCGAAATAATAGTATTTTTCTCTCACAACAAATCAGCATCAGTATCAACCGTTTTTCCAGCCAGCCGAACAGGGCCAACATTTTTTATTTTCACGTTTTTGTATCATTATAATTATTATTAGAACGGTGGCCATTCAGAACTGCAGATTGCAGTCGCAAGGTATGAAATACTGTACAACAGATCCACGCTTTTATATATCCAGGAGCCTTCAGTTGAACAACCCCCCACGCCTGATGCTATATTTGATTAAGATCTGTGGTCAGTATTCCTGATGTTCCATGTCTGGGATGATGGAATAGAGATTAGAAAGCGGAGTTGCCACCACGTTTAAGATAAAAATGTTTTCTTATTGGCTTTAGATCTAACTGAGAACCCGTCAAGCAATTATATCTCCCGGCCTTTCTTGCAAGCAAGCTCACGAGTTTTGCTTGCCGTGTTCGCAGTCTTTGCCCCCAAGACACAAGCCACACCGTCAGTACCACGGCTACGTACAACTCTTGAACAAAACTCATAAGCAAGATCACGGTCATTGCTAGCTGGGCCACTACAACTAGCACTAACAATCCAATGAAAGCGCAAGCCACAAGCCACGACGGCCTCGCGTTTTCTCTACACAGAGCTAGGGACCTGCAGAGACGAGACGAGCAATAGCAAAGCCTACTAGCTAAGGGACAGAGCACAACGCCTGAAGAGAGACGACGATGCAGCTGGACAAGGGGTCCCTGGACCTGGTGCTGGTGCCATGCGGGCTGGTGGTGATGCTGAGCTACCACCTCCTCCTCCTCTACCGCATCCTCCGGCACCCCGCCAGCACCGTGATCGGCTACGAGAACCACAACAAGCTCGCCTGGGTGCGCCGCATGGTGCAGCCGGCAGCGACCCCCGACGAGACGGCGCTGGCGCTGAGCGTCATCTCCAGCAACATCTCGGCGTCCACCAACCTGGCGTCACTGTCCATCGCGCTGGGTTCCCTCATCGGCGCCTGGGTCAGCAGCACCACCAAGATGTTCATGACGGAGCTCGTCTACGGCGACCGCAGCCAGTCCACAGCCACCGTCAAGTACATCTCCCTGCTCGTCTGCTTCCTCGCCTCCTTCACCTGCTTCATCCACTCCGCCAGGTACTACGTCCAGGCCAGCTTCCTCATCACCACGCTCGACTCCGACGTGCCAGCGGCCTACGTGCAGCACGCCGTCATCCGGGGCGGCAACTTCTGGTCCATGGGCCTCCGGGCGCTCTACCTGGCCACCACGCTGCTCATGTGGGTCTTCGGGCCCATACCCATGTTCGCCTGCTCCGTGCTCATGGTGGCCATCCTCCACATGCTGGACACAAACTCCCTGCCCCTGCACCAGCACCAGTTCACAGTTAGGAAACGGCACGAGCAGAGAGCTCTCACCTCAACCATCGCTGCGAGGCAGCAGCAGCCCAGTCCGCAGAATCCAATGCTCAGCAACCCAGTCTTGTCACCTGTTACATTTTTCAGTTGAGAGACGGTGAAATTGTTCGTTGCAGAACCTGAATGTAGCGTGCAATTACACTACATTACATTAATGTTGAACTACAAAATTTTCATTACAGATATTGCTTCCCAACTAGGACAACTGCTACATAGACTGATGGTCAATGGATCACGACATTGACATCAAAATATTTTTTTTCCTATGGGAATTCATGATTCTGGTCTTAGCTTAGCATACTGACTCGGCAGATATCCAATCCAATATATGATTTCCTATATTCATGACGTTGCCATATAGGTAGATGGTCTGCACTGCAGTTGCCATATAGGTAGATGGTCTGCACTGGCTCCCAGTCCTCTTTTGTTAGTCTCTATAGAAGAACAGTGGGGACATTGGGGTCATTCCCATTGGACTCGGTAGTTTTCTTCTTGCCTCGCTTCTTGAGCTTCTTTTTGAATTTGAATTGTTCCTTCATGTTTTTCTCCCATGCTTTCTTGTGCTTGTTGTAAATGAACATCGCAGCTCGTGCATCCTCGATCTATAAGAGTACAGAAAGTGGTCATGCAAGCAATCATGAGCAGGGGTGACATAAAAATGGAAGTGTTAGGATCATCACGACACAAAACAGGAACCATGCATATAATGTAACACGTACAGGGCAGTGTTCACTCTGTTGTATTTTAGCACCAAGTACTTCAGCAGCAAGATCCTTCAATGATCGCCTCTTTCTCTCCCTAGTAAATTTGAAATTCACATGTCAATACAGTGTTGGGTAATCACAAGAATAATCATGTCAGAGCAGATGCCCAGACCATCTAACCTTCGGAAAACCTCATATTCTGATGTATCCCTAATGTCCTTCTTTGGGTGGCTTAGTAGCAACACCTGGAAAATATTAATTAAATTACACAAGAACACACACAGGGTGCATAAAGAAAGGAGTTAAAGTCACCAACCTTGAGATCATTGTGTAGCGCATGACCAACCAGAATTCTTCCTTTAATCAGCTCAGCTACTTCCTTCTGCACGGCCCAGAATTCTTTGGCTGCAGTGACATAAGACAGTTGCATAACCCACAAAGATCACCACCCTTGACCGCAACAAAGTACCATATAGTGATAGACCGATAATGTAGTGATGTATCTACCTTTGTTCATGTGCTTAGGTCTAATCCCACTAATCCGGGTACGGTAGTCCACAATTCGCTCCACAGTACGAACATATTCATCATATACAACATTGCCAAAGGAATTAACCTGACAACAAGCATACTGAGATTAGAGGATGATCATTCAAATGCAGGAACAAATTTACATTATCTAAATGTTTGGACATTTCAAACAAACTTCATCAAGTGCATTTAACGTGTGGAAAATGCTATAAAAAAACTACATATCAAGTGCCACATAACGTTGAACAAAAAAAAAAGTTATGACATGTGTTGTTCCGTGTTCAGCATGCTACAGGTCTAGAAAATCCTTCTTGTTCGAGGAGGAAGTTTGGCTCTTCTCCCTAGCTCTCTCAAAAAAGCAAGGAAATCCTTGCCCACTCTTTTCCCAAAGCAAGGCTAATCAAACATGCTCTCGACTTTTAATCATTTTCCATCAAACTTAAGCATGTAATTCAAGAATAACCTTCACTGCTTGAAGCCTTGAACATTTACATCACATCAAATGTCTAGGTGTAAATGCACACAAAATATGCGAGGATGTTACAAAGGCCTACACAACGTTTTCTGTACACTTACACCAACACAGGGTGATGATTGAACATTAACAATTTAACATGATGTCTTTAAATGTTCTTTTATGATATATAGTTTCAGATCACTGAGTTGCTACACTGAAACAGTAATCCTATAGCATTTTCAAAACACAAGTAGATACGCATAACAGTTTAATAACAGACAAAACAACAGTACAAGCCTACAAGGGAAGAGGATCACATTGTAGTCGCTAGACATTACCTAAATAAAACTAAGTATATGCCACTTTATTAGCATAACACCTGGGTTTAACATCAGGTAAGTAAAACAAACCATAGAAACCCCACAGGCCACAGGATAGGAAAATGTTTTACTGTAGTGTCAAACCCAACTATAAACTAATAGCATGTTACTGAAACAAACACCTGAATACTACTAGTGCCAAATGCAAGCTTGTAACAAAAACCTTCACCGAACCACAAAAATGCAAGTCCATCCAGGTCATGGACTCATGGGAGTTATCAAAACCATCTGTTTATTAAACCAGACATCTGAAATGACCAGCCTCCAACTATGGATTTGCCCAATTCAACTTCAGAACATCTCCACGTCGGAATAGTAGCAATCTCATTCCATGGACGGAGCAGATTATTACACTGCTGCTTCATGATTAACAGCTTTTGGCACATCCTGAACCTTCAACCTTCCAATTCAACCACGAACAACCACAGACCTATTGCTCTACCATCACTCCAAATCCAAGCGCTCTCTACTCCACTCCATAAATTGATGACTAAGTACATCATTACTAGTGACTAGGCAAGTAAATAAACAAGAAAATTGAAGTAAGAGATGGTGCTTACCAAGGTAACCCGACCGAGAGCGCTTTTGCTGCCATCAGATCCTACCCCGACCATCTCGCAGTCAATCGCCACCGCTTTAGTCAAGCTGAGGACCCCCAAACACCATTCCAAAACCACGAAATCAAAAAACAAATCTCAAACCGACATTCCAAGCGTCTCGATGCCAGAGCATGTTCACCTGGTGTCGTCGGAGGTTGGCTCGAGTTTGACCTCCTGCACTGCGGGTGGTGAAGACGGCTCCGCGGGCGCCGGAGGGCCACCATCGTGCTTGCGCTTGCCGAGGTGGGTCGCGGCGGGGCGGTGGGGGAGCTTCGACTGGAGCTGCGCCCAGTTAGGATTTAGGGCGGAGGGGGGCGCTGTTTTTGGTCTGGGCTTCCGCTTCCGCCTCGGATTGTGGCTGGGGTTTGCGGCTGCCGGCGGCGGCGGGGAAGACGGCGTCGGAGCCGGCATGGACGATTGCGGCGCGGGAGGACTGAGGTGGAGGGGTTTTTCTTGTGAGAGAGGGTTTTCTTTTCTTTTGTTTTGTTTTTGTAACTTGCAAGAGAGGGTTCCAACTTCCAAACGTTCTCTTGGGTTCCAAATTTTCAACAAGTTTTAACTAACTGAAATTTTTTGATTTGGTGTCTAGGGTTGGGTTTACCTGAGATCCACCCAACAATGGCATATGTATCGCTGGCAATGGTAATGGAGATGGACATGATATTAGATGCACGGGGCGTTAAACCTTGAAGGGGTTAGTTTAATGGTTTTAATGACCAAAGCAGGACAATGACGTTGGAGCTCGAGTCACAGTGGTTATGGTTTTAGAATGGATTATGGGGGAAGATGCAACTAGGGCTACAATGGCGATAACTAGGCGGGAGCAGGTAGAGGTGAAGGTTGGGTAGGGGGCAAGAGGAGGCAACAACATCAAGGGTGAGAGTGTCGGACAGAAGAAGATGACAGAAGAGACAATGCTATAAATAGAGCATGGATTTTGCTTGGCTGAGATCAAATCGTCACAAAAATATAACTAATGCCAAAGAAAAATATCAACCAAGTAATATAGAAACAAATTCTTTTTAAATAGTCATGCATAGATCATCGCTTAAAATGGAAATGTATCATATCACATAGATCATCGCACATCTGAATTGAGCTAAATTTTATTGAACTTAGTGCTAGATTCATGTGTCTAAGGCTAAATTCAGTGATGGTTTTATAGATATTTTATCGTGACAATGGTGATTTGGTGATGGGATACACTAGCGGAGCTAAGTTCAGGCCAATCTGGGCTACGACCTTCCCTTCCTCCGATAAAACTTTACATTGTCCTGCATACCTGCCAAATCTACGCGCATTCCATGTTGACTAATCAAAGCAAGGATAGTAACATAGTTGGAAGCGGGGTTAATACTAATGCCACGTCCGTTAGAGCCTTCACTAGTACAATGGCCTAGCTTCATCGACGTTGTTGGGTGAATGTGAATGACATGCAGAGCTATCAAGGCGGCTGGTGCACAACGAAAGGGATTCTCCATGAAGAAGTAAAACACCGGTTTATCGGTCGCATTGGGCTAGGAGCAGGCTTTTTCTCTAGTGTGACGCGCTTAGCCAAGCAATAAGCGAGAAGCACCTAATTGCGTCTATCTCCTTATTTCTCTCTTGTCGAACAAGGATTTTTCTGATTATACTTGATCTCACATCGATTGGCAATTGATTTCTATTTTGTTGAGCACTTAGATTTGGACCTGTTGTCTTTTTCTTCCTCAAGGATACATCTGCCCAAAGAAGTCTGAATCTATTAGTGACTACTAGTACTATGACAACCAAAAACATACAAAGGTCCGCCAACTACCTAGACCAACACAACACGGATGCCTCTATTCTTAAAAGCGAGGCAGGCTGCAAAGGCTCGTCTTGTAATGGGGACAGGGATCCCGATCTTCCGTCAGGTAGAGGTAACTATCGTTGTGGCGGAGAATGACACACCGATCCGGCTTTAGATCGAAAGATCGAACCCTGCAATCTTAGCACCACAACTCCTCTGGTTATCAACCGAGTCACGGACCAGGTTGACCTCACCAAGAAGGCTAATCCCTGTCTACGCAACGAAGAACACAAGAAAGAACACAACCAAATTACAGATGAATGATTAATCCCACGAAGTTGGGGTCTCACAAACCGATGAACGGCGAAACTGTTCTTGACAGAATAATCTAAGAAAACACAAAACCTAATGATGGCAGCGACATATGATTATAAAGGTCTTAGGGTCGTCGCCTACCCTGGATGCACCCCCTAATGGGCCCAAACACAATACACGGTCCAACGGACCAAAAGACGGTGTCGCAGCACCCTAGCAGATTCTGAAAATTTAGTACATTAAAACAATTCTCACCTTCCGTGAGTGTAGCACCATGGGCATTACCTGTGTTCTCAGCAGGAGTAATAGGTGCATTGTGAAGTGATGGTTCTGAATTTGCATATGAGGTTATGAGCTCCTCATTTTCTTCCATGTCATCCTCTCGCTTATGGATATTATCCTGTAGAAGGTTAGTCATAGCAAGAGGAATAACAACAGAATCTTCCTCTAAATGGTGCACCTCATCATATGAAATCAAAATAGGAGGTGGATTAACAAAGATTTCTCGCATAAGAAGTTTCATATCATTCCAAGTTCGAAGTTTATCAGAAGGATCTAAAGACTCCCACCAAGATAAAGCAGAATGTCGCAAAACACTAGCTGCATTTTTTACCTTCCTCATTAGACACATAAAGCGAGTAGCAAATATGTTATCTATGACAATTTTCCACTCCATGTACTCCTCAGCACCTATACCATAATAAGTCGGTGGATACGAACAACCTGTCATTGTTAGAAGACAACAAAAGACAACATAAAAGTATTATCCCTATCAAATGACTACATAGTTGCACTGGTGTCACTATTCACAGCAAGTGGAAGCGTCTTATAAAGCTCTTACAAAGTTTTTACCAACGCAAGCAGTGGGCAGTACAATCGGCGGCTGGTTCGTGATATCTATGAGGCAGTGGTACCGAGATTGCAAGGCCCTTTTTCTGTACTGATCTGAAGAGTTTGTGGAGCTTGGAAGGCACATAAAGAATAATATGTATATCTGGCACACAAGTCAGTAACAGAAAGTAATGTTGAATTATAGTCCAAAATACTTGTTCTCATTGCTGGTCTAAAATGTTTCAAGTACCAGGTGTGTGACAAATAAGTATGGTGGATAGTAAGGTGACAGGTGTGTGAAAACAAGTATGGTGGATAGCAACAGCAACACAAACAAGGAACCAGACAGCACACGCTAACACAGCTCACTTTGGGCTTCTCTATGTGCTCCTCTAGATATTGTTCCTCTTTTGTCCCTCTTTTTTCCATTTTTTTGGGCTGTCGTTATTTTTTTGGAAAATTTTGACTTTTTCTTTTTCTTTTTTGATATTTTTTATTCACTTAGGAGCACAAAAGAAGTAACCACAGAAAATATGAGCCTAAACAAGTGAAAGGTGTGGCCTATGGAAATTTCAGAAAATATGCTCAAAATCGACAAAAACATTGTGACCACGAAAAGAGGATTTTCTGACCAGTTTTTGACCAAAATAAATATTTTTGACCTAGCAAAGCAAGGGATGGATGGATCTAAAATTTTTTCCGATCGATTTTGATATATGGAACGTCGAAATCGGAGTTCGTATGCGAAAACTAGATTAGTTTTAAGAACGGACTCCGAATTAGAGGATAAAATGGGAACAATGCGCGCAAAACTGGTCACGGCAACAAGGATTTGATGGAAACGATGGGAGAAAAACACACGAACTGGACTCTAACACGACCTAACCAGCAACAAGACTTTGACCAGGACACAAACTCAACACGACGGACTCTGAAACGGAAATATGCAAAGGCTATGGTGCGGAAAGTTCTAGGACAGGAAAAAAATATGGCACTGGACTATGGGACGAATGCAAAACACTCAAAACTAGGGGATAAATATGAACCTGATGGTATATCTTAGCTCTGATTACCACTTAAAGGGGATGGGGATCCCGATCTTCCGTCAGGTAGAGGTAACTATCGTTGTGGCGGAGAATGACACACCGATCCGGCTTCAGATCGAAAGATCGAACCCTGCAATCTTAGCACCACAGCTCCTCTAGTTATCAACCAAGTCACGGACCAGGCTGACCTCGCCAAGAAGGCTAATCCCTACCTGCGCAATGAAGAACACAAGCAAGAACAAGAAAGAATGATTAATCTCACGAAGTTGGGGTCTCACAAACCGATGAACGGCGAAACTGTTCTTGATAAAATAATCTAAGCAAAACCCAAAACTTAATGACAATGGCGATGTATGATTATAAAGGTCTTAGGGTCGTTGCCTACCCTAGATGCACCTCCTAATGGGCCCAAACACGATACACGTTTCAACGGATCAAAAGACGGTGTTGCAGCACCCTAGCAGATTCTAGATGCTGACTTGTTTTGACAATTCCTGTTGATTCTGAAGGGCTTTTGATGTGAGACCACTTGGATTGGCTTGCTTATCAAATTATCTTTCCAACCATATTTGGATCGTCAAAAACAGAGTCCGGATGCGTCCTGGGTGACCAGTTTAAGCCAGACTGGTCCTGGAAGCCGAGGAAGACTCGAACTTGAGTTGTTTTGGGCCTCCGCCTCGGGGACTCGAACCGAATTAGCCTCGGACCTCCTTCTTGACTTGGACACCCTTGCTGGCCTCCTACCCCTCCATACTATGCGCCAAACATAGTCATATGCATGGGTGTCATATCCTCATCATCTTGCCACTATTTTTGGTCTCCATGCCATAGCTCGCGTTAACAGTTAGCACGATTGCCATGCCCACTGTCTGATGTGATAGATGTAGATGTAGTGGTGGTTAGCTATGGAGGGTTGACGATGGAGGCATAATGACAAGTGAAGGTTTTTGAAAAAATGATCATAACAAGTACTACGTCCGTCCCAAAATAAGTGTCGCTGTGGTATTAGTGCCGGTTAAACTTTCTTAAGTTTAACTAGGTTTGTATAAAATACTAGCAACATTTGTATCTTCAAATAAGTTTGTTATGAAAAATATATTTAACAATTTGTCTAATGATACTAATTATGTACTATAAATATTAATATTTTCTTGCATATATTCGGTTAAAGTTAAAAATCATATGACTCAGCATAGGCGCAAAACTTATTTAGTTTGCCACCACATATTTGGTGATCTTATTGCTGATATAGCACATCTCTCATCATTTTGGGCCCTTGCATAGATTCATGCTAATGTTTATCAATTTATCTTTGTTTGTTGGTATATTTTTAGATGGTATAAGTCAACGGCAGAGAGAACAACATTTAGACGGCTTAACTGACTAGAAATGATATGTCACTTATTGGTTGAATGTCGTGTATGTGTTATGGTTTAGGTTACTAGCTT